ATATATATATACAGACATATATACAAACATGGCTTGTATACTAACATGAATCATATAATTTATATGCTGCACGAGGCCGGCAAACACAAAGGATTCGCTCCTCAAGGACATCCAGCCGTTCAAGAATGCCATGGAACAGAAAAAGGAAGAACTCGAGACGTTCTTCGCCTCGCGAAAATGGCCGGAATGCACAGGCAGCCGCTTGGGCCTCGAAAGGGCCATCGCCGATTACAACGAGGCGGCGAAGCACATCGCCCTACACTGCGGCGGTGGCAAGAAGGGCACCAAAAAGTGATGCTCTTCTAGTTCTGAGGGCCGCGGCTTTTTGAGATATCCAGCCCCCGAGCAAAAACAAAGCACACAGCTACAGACAACACAACAGAACAGCAGACTAGCACAGACACACAGCCACACACAGGCACACACAGGCACACAGCCAGACAGAGGAGCACAGCCAGCCACACACAGGCACATAGCTGTTGCCCGGGGTGGATGTCTGCTCGTCGGCCGAAGGAGCTCGCCGGAAGGGCCATGCGGGCGATCGAAACAATGCCCTGCTTTCGTGCCGCCTGTTTGAAAGCCGGCTTTAGCTAGCATGTCCTGGTTGCCGCTTTGCCTCCCCTTCGCAGGCGATCCGATTTCTGCGAAGTTGCTGGAGAAGGTCGGCGGCGGTGTGCCGTGATGCAAGAGTCATATATATATATATATACATAGTCTCAATACGTATCTATATATATATATATAGGTACACACACTATGTCTACATATATATACACAAGATCTATAATAGATATTAGTCTAGAAACCAATTACTAGACGATATGTATATATATATATATACCAATGTATATATATATATATAGTGGTGATTTACTATATATGTGTCTGTCAGAGTCTACTTTACATAGACATGCACCTACGAAGCCGCAATAACCCCTAAACCCTTAACCCTCAAAAATAAACCGCAAACCGCAAACCCCCAAAGCATGAACCCTAATCCCTCAACCCGAAACCCTTAAGCCGAAATCCTAAACCCTGAAGCCGAAGCCACCCAGACGAAACCGGAAACCCTCAAACCCAAAACTCAAGCCCTACACCGTCGAGCCTAAACCCTAAACCCGAGTTACCAAGCCCGTAACACTGGATCCAGAAGCCCAAACCCTCAACCCGACATCCCAAACCCGAAAACCCCAGGCCTGAAGTTTAGAGCCTCAACCCGAGACCCGAAAACCTCAGCCGGAAACCCCAACCCCTGGACCCTGAACCCTAGTCCCTAAACCGTCAACCCCAAACCCGAAACCCTAAACCCTGAACCCGAAACCGGAAAGTCTACAACCTAAACCCTAAACTTGTCTCTGTGTGTATGTGTGTCCGTGTTTGTTTGGACTCTGTCTATATACTCACCTGAGGACCTGTCTATGGCATCAGTCCAGGAGATATGCGAGGCCATCCAGCAGGCAGCTCGTTGGCATTGGCGGTGGCAATTCCTGTAGCAGTATCGGCTTTGAGAATTGGGGTTGGAGACTTTTATATGGGAATAGTTGCATCGCCAAGGTCTTCCGAAATGCCACTCCCCCCGACGTGGCCAGACTGGCTGCTGTTGGAGCTCACGGCAAGCATGCCGGCAACATCCACAGGGATGCCTTTCGAAAGTTCAAATCGCCCGATCCATGGACTGCATT